CATATTTGACAGTAAATGGGGCTCCCATTTACTGAAATACCATGAATTTCGATCCCCCATTCCAAACGTGAGTACTCCAGGCCATTTCCGTTACAGTATGATAGTTCTTCTAATCGTTTTTGTTTTTAACGCAAAATTCTTATTAGCAAAACAATACGTTAATACTTTTGTTATATACTAAAATTGTAGTTATGCTCGTCATTTCCTCGTAAATATTTTTTAATTTGTAATAATAGTTTAGATTTTCATATATTATTCAATACCTAAGCGAATATATTGAATAGCGTTGATAATGTAAGATAAAGTTCTGTGATATCCACTTGTGGATCAACCATACTTAAAGTATAGCAATGTATATTTTATATTTGAGAATCAATAGATTTAATTTGACACTCCTCCCGATAGTTTCTCATTGTTTAACAAACATATAGATTTGAATTTGCTGAAGCAAGTATTTTGCAACCTGAAGTACTAACCCTTTATTATTAATTTTCAAGCTTCAAGATAAAATAATGATGTTCGATACCCATTTTAAGCTATACCTAGAGTGTTAGAAAGTTCAATCAACCTGCATGAATCTTCATTAGAATGAATCGAAGCACAAAAATCGACCTTCATATGATGAACTAAAAACAATAGAATCGATTTTTATTGTATAATATGAAAACTTCATAGGGCAGAAAGACCGATTGGGTCGATAGCCCTTTTCTGTAGGAAACAAAGATTATTTATATATATAAAACTTTTCTAAAAAGCAGTCAAATTGCCATAGTAAACTGTAAGTTTTAAATTTTATACATTTTCCTTCTTTAATATTTATTTTGGCAAATTATTTCTGATGTCCCATCAGAGCTAAATATATTCGACAGACGTTTTTTAAATGAAACTTTAGAACCAATATCCGAAAATCTATCTAATCTGTAAAACATGTGAATTGATTCGGGTAAGTATTCTTATTTTTTCATAATTGGTTTAAATAAGTTTATATCTTTTGTGGTGCGATTTTATTTAAATTAATTGACTAAAGAAGAAGAAAAATTAAAAATGAGAGAATACACATATCATTTATTTCGAGGTATAGAATGCGTTTTTGATGAAAGGGGTTATCAATTCATATTAGCGAGGTGGAAAATGTCTCTTTTTGGCGACATCCTGAAATTATGGGGCAAAATACCCAAGTAAAAACATGTCTACATTTTTTTAGTTAAGTCTCAAATATACAGTTTTATAAAATAGTTACTTACTATGTACAATAATTTTCAAAATTAATATTCCAGATTATTTAAAGTAAAAAAAAAGTAAGTAAAATATAAAAACATTAACTTCGATTGGAACGTTTACGAATCAATATAATTGATAAATACTTTACTGATTAAGGTTAATATTATAATCCTTCTCATGGATAAATTTAAATTTAATACTGAATTAAAAACTGAAATTGTAGTTAAGATCTAATTTGCTGATATGTAAGCTTGTTCTATTTATAATGTTGTATGTATGTATAATGTATTCTAAAATCTGAAGAAATTAATGAAGTCAGCAAATAGAACCGAATATCGGGATACTAATTAAAATTATTCTGTAGGGTCGACTGCGCCATAATCGCCATTTATTCAAATTTGCCATGTTGCCAACTTTAAACTATGCCAAACATGAGTGCATTTACACCGGCTGATTATAATCTCTTGTTTACAATCTACTGCCAAATTATGGATGGCTGAATTAACCTAATGGCAAAAGTGTTATTTTTCAATTTCTTATTAAAGCAAAGGGATTTTAAGCTTAAACATATTATTTGGCCTGCTATAAGAAAAGTAACATCCACTGCCATGTCGAGTGTTACTGTGTCAGATAATGATTTAATTACAAAGTCTCAGAATTTGGCCCCACAGCTAAGTGATGGGAAACATAAGGGCCAAGTGAGTAAAGCCTTATTGCAAACGCATTTTCGCAAATACGTAAAGTTTTGTTAATCTACTGGAACATGTCAATATTGAATTTAACTCTATGAGAAGGAAATTCAAGTTTAGAAAAACCGTTTTATATCCATTGTGCTTCTGAATTTGATACCTTCTATTTTTCGGGTAAAATCGAACAACCGATACTACAAATTCTTCATAACGGTGACGATTACCTGAAATTTTGAGCAAATCAACAATATTCCAGCAGAAAGTTTTCGTGCACATTTATTATTTGCGTTTTAAGCTTAAACAACGACGAATTTGAGACTGAACCGAACTAAACGAATGATTCCGAAACGTTTTGGCTAAAAGCAATATCAGAAAAGGACCTTTTGAAAATTACTTAATAATAAGGAAAACGACACGCACACGGAAAAACTAAATGCCCTCTACTTTACAGGCGGGAAGAATTGGTGTTTTTGGCGGAAGCATAGAATTTACAGGAGCGCCCTACTTTTCTTCAATTGCAGCATTAAAAGTGGGGGCCGACTTGAGTTATGTTTTTACCATAAAAGACGCCGCATTTGTAATAAAATCTTACAGTCCCGAATTGATGGTGTTGCCATTTTTAGATGATCCAGATGCAATTAAAAAGATCAACCCTTGGATTGATCGATTGCATGTAGCATTGTTGGGTGCGCATATTCATGTGTTGAATTATTCGAATAAACTATTCCAATTTTCCTCACAGGTCCTGGACTAGGTCGGTTAGAAGCAACTCAAAAAGTTTTTGAGGAAATTATTGACCTGTGCAGGATTAAAAACATCCCCTTACTAATCGATGCTGATGGCTTGTTTTTTATCGCTCAAAACCCAGACATCATAAAAGACTATCCTAGGCCTGTTATTCTAACACCCAACAAAATGGAATTTAGAAGAATAGTGGGTGAAAGCGTAAACGGCCTATTGCCTAAAGTAGACCAAGCTAAACAATTCTTGGAAAGAGTTGGACCAAATGTTACCATATTTTGCAAGGACGCTGTGGATGAAATCGTTACATTAGGGAAAAGTATTCAGGTGAGACATCTTGAAAGTACGAATTTAGAAATAAATTTAATTTTAGTTTATTCAGACCCTATTTTACAATGGATGCATAAATCACACTAAAAATTTCACTTATTATTGATCACAATATTCCACAAAAAATATGGAAGATTGAATATTTAACCACTAATAAATTCCAAAACAGGTGTTAATCTGCAATTAAATAAGTACTGTTGCTGCATGTAAATAACCACTGGATACTTTACTGTTGTTTGTCTTTCTCTTCATTGTAACATTTAATAGCAATGCTTTCAAAATATTTCACAAAAAATGCCGCGAATAGACGGAATGGGCCGATCACCATACTTTGAACTATCACATCCACCAATGAGTGAAAAGGACTCATGCCGATACAAAGTGTAGTTAAAACAAAGCTCTCAAACCCTACGGAGCTGAAGAAGTGTTGCTTTAAAGCATCGTTCATAAGTTGGGTAGCTACAGTTTCTGCCGAATATAGTCCTCCAGACTCTGACATGATTTTGGTTTCCTTCGGTTTTGTCTTGTTTTCATTTTCAAATCCCGGAGTATCAGTGTCGGGCGGTAGGGCAAGGGTAACACTAATGTTATAAGGTTTCACTTCCATGTAAAGTGACTCTGCTAGGCCCCTGAGAGCGAATTTACACGATGAATAAATCGAATATCCAAACATTCCCATTAAAGCCACAGCTGAGGCAGTCAGTACAATAATTCCTTCCTTCCTCTCTTTAAATTTCGGGAGAACTGCTTGAATGGGGTAAATGGTACCCAATAAGTTAACATCAATTAAATGTTTCACGTCATTTTGCTTCATGTCTTCTAATCGGCCACATATTGCCAGACCTGCACAATTGACCAACATATAAATAGGTCCCACAGTGCTTTCCAGTTCCGCGAAGTTTTTCTCAATAGCCTCTTTATCACTAACATCAATTGAAGCGCTATTAATTTTCTGAGCTTCATTTGCATGATCTTCAATTTCTTGCATTGCTACACGTAATTTATCAACATTTCTTGCCACTATTGTTACATGTGCGCCTTTTTTGGCAGCCAAGATTGCAAGGGCCTTTCCAATTCCACTGGAACCGCCCGTAATCACTACGTGCCTTCCAAGTAAAGACTTTTTGGAACGCTTATTTAAAAACTTCAGGATCAAACCGATAAGAACAAAAATTAGTGGGATGGCACAACATATTATTTCAGTTTGATATTTCCCAAAACTCATTTTTTTTGTATAGAATTTTAAGTTAGAAGCAACTAAATACAAACTTTTAAATCTAACACTTTAAAGTTTATAACCTAACAGATAACACGGTGAACTAGGATCTAGATCATAGATGAATATTAAAATATAATCATAGAACAAGAAGATTGTCTAGATCTTGCCTTGTCAATTGTCATCGTAGTTTCTACTACCGTGTGACGAAATTAGCTAACAACGGTGTTGCCAACGCCAGTTGTGTAAGTCTCGACAAAATGTAGCACAAAGTGAAACGCACAAAACTTACACAAGATATGTAACGGTTGAAAACGGTATTTTCGCCACAAATTTGACGAAAAAAATTAAGGGGAAAGGTATAATCTACAATGTGAACAGTAGTTTTTTAATTGAAATTCCTACCTAATAAATATTCTGATTATTGAGTTATTACTCTACAGCCAAAGATATCGCAGGCAGACAAGACGAACAGAATTAGACAAAGTTGAGCGAGGTTCGTATTTAAAAGGCCCATTGGCAAATTTTTGACGGCCCCGGAATAATAAATAAATAAACCGCTTAAAACGGGCCAAAAGTGTTGTTTAATTGGTATTTGACGCTTCTAGCCTGCGTTTAGTGAGTTTGTTGGATTTTTCGCTTTCTTGAGATGAAAATGATGTATCATGGAAGTATTTTGAGATAATTTATATTTTTGGAAAACATGTGCCTCTACCGCTTATAAAATTTTCAGTTAAAATTCAAAATTTTACATGGGGATTTTTACGGCACAATGGCTTTCCACGCAAGAAGCTTCCGAATATCCACATATAGTGTTTGAGTTTATAATAAGGAAGATTTTGTGGCTCAAAGATTCCGACCGTTCAAAAAATGGTTAAAATAGTTCGAAATTTTATGTTATGTCGTATTCCTTCATCCTTCAGATGAAAATGATGTAGAATTCGAGGCATTTTGAGAGAATCCATAATTTTTCAAAACATCGACCCCACACTTTACGGAAAAGTTCATATTTGTGTTTTTTGACTTGAGAAAGTGCTTACAAATGTGCATTTATAAAGGGTTTGGGTAAATAATAAGAAAAAAATCATTGGCTAAGGGTCATGAACGCTCAAAAAACACTTTAAATGTGCCGAAAATATCTATTTATTTCCGAACTGAAACTAACGTGTTTTTCAATTAGCATTCATCAAGCGTTCTTAAGATTAAAATGACGCAGAATTTGAGCTATATTGAAAAACTTGATCTATGATGTTAAAAAATCTAAGCTTTGCATGCATGTTTTTTGAGCGCATCGAATTGTTTCGGACCTAAAAATCTCCCCAATATGCGTACTTATATAAAGTACGTCGTCGATTTAAGATCGAAAACATTCAAAAACCGTTTAAAATGGGCAGAAAATGTTGAGTATTTCGAATCTGAAGCTTATGTCCTCTTCCTCAACGCATTCATTTTACATTTCCAGTGCGGGTTTTTTTGGTTCAAACCATTGCTTTTGACTGATTAATGAAAAATAAAGTCACTACAAAAAAAACTTATTTAGAATATATTTAATTTTTAGATAAGTGGAGGTGGTTCCGGTAGAAGGTGTGGAGGTCAAGGCGATATGTTGGGAGGAACCATGTCAACGTTTTTAGTTTGGGCTTTAGAAAAAAACTGGCAACCAGCGGTTGCATGTTACGCTGCAAGCAAATTAACCAGAGACTGCAATTCAAAAGGTTTTGCTAAATACGGTAGAAGTATGGTGGTTACCGATATGATCCATGAACTACCCGGCGTATTTAGAGAGAATTTCGAGCTCAAGGAATAAGCTAACATTTTACCATTAAAAGAAACATGGCCTGATTAAGAAAAAAATATTTGCATTACTAAAGTTGCTGTTTAGTCAAAGCATTTTAAAGCAATATATTTTGTTATAATTGAATTTGAGTTTAATTTACCACTAGTTTGATCAATTTCACAGAGTACTTAAATAGAATGAACAATAGTTTTTTATGAAAACCAACTGAAACCTACAGCTTTATTCGAAACCTGGACGCCGCTTAAGGGCCAATTATTTTGTGTATATGAATGTATGTTTTGGCCTAAAAATTATAATATATCCGAAACGGTTGACCATTGCTCAGTTAATATATTATATTTTTGACCTCCCTTCTCGAGCACTATCTATGCCCACTTAGATTTCAGCGGCAATTCGGAAGAGAGAAGCAAAAACATCAACACCAGAGTGTTGATGCTTTGATGATATGTATCAAACAGGAGATATTCCAAAAACGATGGAAATATCCAATCAATCGTCCCTACCTTTCGATAGCCTTTCTCAATAACTGGCTTTTACGTATTAGATTCAAGCCGAAATTTTTACCCTCCAAAAAAATAGAAGCAAAAATAAAAATAATTAGAACGTGAGAGGAATGGCTCTAGAAAATTCCCACAATTTCATATGGTAATAGCGGAATAATTGCAAAGACTTAATTTAGCGCGTCTTCAGAACAATATTTTCCAAATGAGGATTTATCATAAATTCCCCATTGTTTAAAAAATTAAAGCAAACATTTTTGGCAAAATTTTCTTTTTAAGACCGCAATACTCAACAAAGGTGGTTATCAAGCTTTGCTTTGCTAGATATAAAAATTATGCTATATAATTCTGCTCTTTGGTAATATAATTCGTGTATGGTGTAAATCCAACCAATGAATATTATTTCACATAGGTATCCGCGCTTACAGACATTTAGGCACTACGGAAAGTATTGTTTTTTGACGTAAAATTTTCAGAGTAGCTGAGCGCTGACAATTATTTGTTGTTACATGCTCAGCTCTTTATGTTTTATGATTTTTCCTGTTTATAACAATAACTTAACAGAAAATTAACAAAATGGCATGAGTTAAACCACACCTGGCTGCTCAAGACATAATCAAAGTAGTAAAACACTTGCCTTGCTGGTTTAGTGACGTGGATGTGATCATTTAGGTTATATTTACTCCACTTTCCCAAAGAAAAACTGGATCTTTAATAGAAAATCAAAATGTTCGAAATAACCGACACACAAAGTAAGTATATTTTTTATTCGATTAACGAGCTATTATATTACTTTTAAAGTTAAGATATGCTAGCAGCAAAGTATTCTCTGTTTTAGAAATAGGTGTAGGCCTAGCTGGATTTGGGGTTTTCTTCCTATTTTTGGGAATGTTACTACTATTTGATAAAAGTTTACTGGCATTAGGCAATGTAAGTATTGAATTCAAGCTTTAGGCTGCTTTAAACCACATATATCATTCGGAAAATATAAGAAACTAATTATTTTTTAATTAAATCTGCAGATCCTTTTTATTGCTGGATTGGCAGCAGTTATTGGTAGAGAGAGAACATTCAGATTCTTCTTCCAGAGGCATAAAATAAGAGGAAGCCTTGCATTTTTTGGAGGTATTATCATAGTGTTATTTGGTTGGCCCATGGTGGGAATGATTTTTGAAGCTTATGGATTCTTTATGTTATTCAGGTATGCCATGCATGGCCTATTTCGTTATTTAAGAAAAAAAATCAGGTTTTTGTAGCTTTAAGGTATATTATTTTTCTTTAATAAAATAAATGTTTAATTTAAACTGAGAGACACGTTGAATTTTATTGTATACTTAATGGTTTTTCAGTGGTTTTTTCCCAGTTGCCATAAACTTCTTGAGGAGGGTTCCAATCTTAGGCACATTTTTGAATTTGCCTGGTATTAGTAAAGTAAGTAACGCTTGTTGAAATGTTATTTTAATTTTGGGTCAAATGACTATTTTATGACTGACCCATGCATGATAAAAGTATTAATTTTGATAATCCATATTTACTAATACGCGTGTTTTATTTATGTATGTTGCTTTTTAAGTGCTGCACTATTTTTTTGTGCTTTTTGGTTTGCCAATGCATAGTTGAAACCATATTCTGTATTTTGAAGCAATACATAAAGTTTTTTTAAATATTTTCAAACTTTCTGCCAAAAACCCTTTTTAAATATATTTAAGACATTTTAAGTGAAAAAGGAACATTCACGAATAAGTTCAGGCATTTTCGGCAATGTTCCAAACAATAAAAGCAAATAAGATTGTGTGGATGTCTACCACATCCATTCAACTATTCCATGGTAAACCAAACACCCTATAAAAGTCCGTGTAAGTAATTTAATTTAGTTTAATTACTTAATCAATTCTTTCACTAAATAATTAACGCTTTACGTTTTTATAATATTTTCCTTTTTTGTAAGCTCGCCATTTTTTGTTCATTGTCTTGTGGTCGATTAAAATCTTTAATTGTAATAAAATCGATTTCAATACTAAGTTTCATTATTATGGTGGTTCATTTCAATCACAACAGGTTCTTAAATAGAATGAGGAGCATGTCTGAAGTTGGTCTAGAAGATCATTGTGTGAAGAAGGAATCATATGGCATAGCCGAATATTTAACTAATCTAGAAGCTTCACAAAAAAAATTATGGTTAAGCATAAAGTTGGAAGAAGTTAAAAGAACGGTTTATTATTTCGTGAATTATCCAATGGATCAAAATGCCACATCACCAAAATTGTATGATTTTCAAGGTCTACATATCTGAGAAAGAGTCACAGATGGTGGCGAATAAAGTTACAAGGTCTTGCGTTTTTTTTAAGGACAGCTATTTTTTATCTCTGGTTTCATTGCAGGCCGCACATAAAATTGTGAAATTTGTATTCCTGTGGTTCGAGAAGAAACGTAACTGTGTTCTTAACTAAGAGAATCGAAAAAAGAACGCCGCGTTATACATGTTTTGGTTGTGGTCACCTCTAGAACAATGCAAATTTGAACCGGATAAAATGGTTGAGACGTTTAAAAAAGTGCTGTGTTAAAACGTTGTCTTTACAAATTATTTTTTTTGTTTACGTGTCTTATGTCGTCTCTCTATATTTTGCAAACACTGTCCACTCACTTTGAGAAGGCAGAATTTAATTTGTCTATTAAATTGCTGTTTTTATTTGTTTTTTTTTAGAAAATGTATATTATATGGTTTCATCTTCATATACATTACCATCATCCATTTATGGACGCTTAAAGCAAAATGCATAATTTCGTTTTGGATAAAAAATTGAATAGTCATTTGATTCAACTGGTTCTTGGGTTCTCTGTATATTTAGAATTATCGTTTCTATGTTCCAGATAGTTGATAAACTGGCTGGAGACTCCAACCGAACAACGGTCTAACTAACTAATATGTATGCATGTGAAATACAATGATTCTCGTCTGTAATCTAAACACTAACTTAATAAGTATATGGTGTATGTACAGAAACAACTTTTTCACTTACTGTGTTGGAAATAAAACATATGTTTAAGTAAGGTTTAAACTTCGTTTTTGTAATTAGCCCTTTGTGTTATTTAAAGGCATRTTTTCTTTTATTTCAGTCTTTRTTTTATTTGAATATGGATTGTAAAATTATTTATTTCRGCTTACATTGCCTTGGAGAGATGTTTCTTTCGCAMWACTCTATTCTAATCGAGAGATTCATCAATTTAAGRCTTGCAATATTTCCACGAAATTTGAAAAATAYATGTCTTGGTATATTATCTGTTTTTTTGCAGTATTTTGYGTTTTATTATAGTTACTTTGAAATTTATCGATGTTGCGCTAATTTTACTCATAAGTGTATAGTTCAAACCTGACAATATGTTCAAATTTCATCTATTGTGAGTGGAAGTGCCWYTTTTCTGATTATATCATGTATTGTGAGTGGAAGTAGTAAAAGAGTATTATACGGTTGTATGGCGGTTTGATATCAGGATTTTGAATTTTGCCTGCGCAAGTTTTAAAACTGTTGCTYAATCTATGTCTGAAGTTGTAGTACCTGCGTATCTTTATTGTTTCACCCTTCCGTATGTGTAAAATAGTTAAGTGACGAAGGGCAAATGTRATTTGCAACTTGCGCTCTATAATTACATACATTTTTTGTAAATTATTAAAACCTTTAAAGTTAAAAAGTTTAAACCGACCTTCTGACTATTAACCTAAAGAATGATGAAGATTCTTGGAGATAACATGGCAGGCGATTTCAATAGGCCAACACTTGTTCACGTCTTGTTTACGGGTTTTCATACGAATCATCTGTTATAAAATGAAATAATCCTTATTCACATTCACGATCACAAATGAACTTGTAAGCGGTAAGTCGTTTTTATGATTGAACTGACAGTTCGATTTCATAATTATTGGGAAACGTCGCTTCGCATATTTTGCTTATACGACAATAAACAAATAATTAACAGATGTATTAAAATATTTGTTCAATCAATAATGAAGTAAATTCATATATGTATTACAATTTTTTTTTTAAACAAACAACATTATTAATTCACGGTTGAAAGCCGCCAGCAGCCATTGCGGTGATTTCTTGGTTGCCTGATATCTGGGATACGAAAGCAAACGCAAACAGCGAATATTTGACAGTGGCATTCAATTGTGTGGAACTTTGTGGAAAAGCTTATCTGAAATTAATTTTGCTAATTCTTCGATTTTTCACACTTTCAAAAGTTATTTCCTGAAATAGAATCGACAAAATGTCATCCAAAACTTTTGCGTCGATGAATTTGGTAAGATTTCAACTGCAGCTTATATACGCTCGTTTTAGCAGTCTTTTGTCGGAATAGTTTTTCAATATCCTTTAGCAATCAGCCAAAGTTAAACATTGAACACCTATTCAGAATATGTCGATGCGTGTTGTCATCTAACAATTATTTAAATTCTACATTTGTTTTAGTCTTTCGGCTTACAATTTCATATGTTGCGCCATTCTTTACTCGCGCGCTCCTTACATAGGTTTCCAAGAGGAAACTACGAAATGTACCTTCGAAATTCAGTATAAACTGACTTTGATATTGTGAATCCTGATCAGTATTGCAAATAACTTGGAAAACTCATTTTGGTATAAAGAATATTTTAGTTAATACACATTCTAGGTGATTTAGAAAACTAACCTCAATCAAACGCGCAACTTTTTTTTGTTTGACTAAATATTGAAGATCATTGCAGAAATATACTAAATATAGTGTGTTTCAAATACATGAGTAATTGTTTACCTGAGGTTGTTTCATGCCGAAACGTTCATATAACATCGATCCGCAAATTCTACGTTACCGATTATTTTACTTATTTTCTCTTACAGCTCTTCCCATTTTCAATATATTTCGCTTAGAATTTGGGAAATTAGAAAACTTCTTTCAATATTCTGCTTGTCGCATTGGGCAACCTAAATTATTGTCAAATACATCCACACTTTTCAGTTGTGTTGTATCTTCGCCCGTTGCCACAAATTCGAAATCAAAGTTAGCCTCGTTAATTAAGTTTGTAAAGTGTAGCGCACTCCATACTCAACAGAATATTGTTTCCCAAAACGGAAATACATACATAACATCACTTAGAACGGTCAAGGGTACAAATTAAACTTACTGTGCATTATAAGGTAAGGTGGAGTAAGTGCGCCCTGATTTTCTAAGAGAACACATTCGAACTAAACGTTGAAGAACACAAAATAACAAAATACGAAAGTAATTGATATATGCACATTTTTTACTGTAGAGGTGGACACTTGCACTATTACGAATATAAATTTAGGGCAAGTGTGAACTCGACTTCTATTTATCGTTGTGTGATTGAAGAATGTATGTGAACGCTACCATTCAGAAAGTATTTAAATTAAATCGCACATAATATAAATAAGCTAAAAAACCTTCACCATTATGAACTGAACTCCATTACACCATTCGACTTTTAACTTCAAAGGATAATCATAGAACCATCACAGAAAAAGTAGCAAAATGCTACAACTCGTCTTCAGGCAGATATATGAAGCTGATATCAAGTCAGCTAGAGAACCTTTCAGTTGTGGCTGCACTGTTATGTTTATTGTAATGTTGTAATAATGCGGTTTTAAAATATTATCTACTTCAATTTGTTTATCATTAGTAATTCGTCGTGTTTAAACTACATAGGAAATCCCCTTTCTTTAATTATGTGAGATATTTCAAGAGACAGTTTTAGTTTTCCTATCATGCTAACGCATACACCTTTCAAGTCGCGCCAATGTACTCTTCAGGTTTTGGCGAACAGCGATGTAAAAAACTCAGTAAACACTTTCCAACTATCGAAGAAATATGTCAAGAGACTGGTGAAAATCTCCATATTGAACATTATTTACCAGCGAATTGCGATTTCTGAGAAGGAATTTGAGGTGAAGAAATATGAAAAAATTCCCTATAGAGTATTTAAGCCCAAGTCGCAAAATACTTTTATCAGGGTATATCATGCGGTCACCAATGGTATCATCGAAGCTATAGACAAAGATTATGTAAGTAGTTAACATTCCATAAATGTTTTAAATATTTTGTCCGTTCCTTAATAAATTATACATTTGCTACAGTATCTCTAAGAATCAGCTGACTCTTAATATTTTTTTTTCAAAAACTAAGCAATAAGGTGCTTCATTATATTCAAATATCATGCAAACTAAACATTTCAGCTGAAGGAAATTGTTATACATATTGTCGGAAAAGATAATTACGATCCCTTGGAAACGTACAACATAAAAATTAAATATAATAAGCAAGATTCCAAGTCTAATCAGAAAAGTTCAGCAGTAAAAGCCGCAACCATGGAATATTTTAAAGCTCTGACTGAAATACCAGGGAATAAGTGGCAAGAAGACAATGTGAAAGTATTTTTCGAGCTTTCTTATAACGAAGGTTTGTATGCTCTGAAGTAACAGGAACGTGTTGGTAACCAAAATGGTTATTTGCTATTCAGGCGTTCCATTTGAATATGAGCCTCCTAACTTTGAACCAACCAAAGAACTGCTGTGTTCTAACACAAATAGCTTAATGAGCTTGGGAAATATTTCTACTGGCTTTCATAAAGTTAGTTCGTGGGGCTGCGGCGCAAAAGTAAGTTTGTAAGTGCAAAGCACTTTTATGGGATAATACAAAACAGTGAATAGTCTTCCTAATGCGCGTATAAACGTTGGTTTTGTTTTTCGATGCAGTTTGCCGAAGTTCGAGAACTTACTCCTTCTGCAAACTGTTCAGTTCCAGTAAGTAATGCAAAAAATAACTTATTGGAAGATGATGATAACTTATTGGAAGATAATATGATGGAATACATCCCTGAGGTGAAGCTGAAACATAACAGTAAGAAGTTTTCACGCCCATAAGTGTTCATTTCAAGATATTCCTCCCAGGTAAAAGGTGCTGACTTGTTATGAAATTTTTTAGATGGTACATGCGGCGAAAACGCGTCAAAGAAACGTAAACTACAGGTCATATCACCTAGTTGTGACTTAAGTACAAACGGAGGCAAGTTATACGTATAAAAATCACAATTTTCTTATCTACTTATACTGTTAAGATATTATGATCAATCGAAAAACACTGGCAATTTTTAGAAATTGATTGGGGAAATATTTCGATCCTGTCCAGTGATGATGACACATACTGTCCATGTAAATGGCCACTGCCTGACAAATATGAAACCATAAAATGCACAAAATGTTTTGCAAAAGTACATTTAGCATGCCACGGATACATCAGTATCGAAGCTGTTGATAAAACTAAGTTTAGCTGTTATTCATGCTCATGTCCTAGGGCTGACAAGAATAAATTAGACAAATTGAATATGTTGATGAAAACAAGGTAAGTTTTACCTTCACCATTCCATACATCCGTTTTATGTATGTATTATTAAAAAGGAGCACTTTATTTTCGGAAAAGACTTGATTATCTAGGTCCGAATGGCACCACTGTTCGTTGTATTACGTAATTTAAACAGTTTAGAAGTGTACGAAAATGTATATGCTTGTTCATATGCAAAAGGACGTGTTTAATAATTTAGTCTCACTCGAGTGAGATCGCAATTGTCGCAAAATATTTCAATAAAATTAGTACCTTGCTTTAACTATTTAGTGCACACAAGATGCACACAAAATAAATTTGATCCAATTTTGCATTGATTTTCACATTTTGATTGATTGATCAGAATTTTCACATTTTTTGTCTATTTCAGAGCAATTATCTATGGAATTCAACTTGAAAAGTCTATTCCATGCGAAATGCAGTTGGCGACTAAAGATGAAGCCGCGTATATTCTGGATCAACTAGACTCACTTGGAGTTATTGACTGCTCGTCTTCTTCGTTTAGGTAAGCTGTCGTTCATTTTTTTCTGCTTATTTAAAATATATGTACTTTAATTTTCACAAAACTCTTATGTCATCTGATACTGGAACTTTGTACTAGTGTACTTTTTAAAACGCATTAAATACAGTTCAAATATCGATTATTCAGTGTGGTTTTCATAAAACCATTCGTGTAATCTCGAATGATGCGCTGTTAAGAGGGTACCTAATCTGATAATTAATAACAAAATAGGTTTGACGAATAAAGAACCGGTAGTCCATTTAGAATAATCTACCTTTCCCGTACATTTGTGGTAAACGTTGTCAGAAGAGATAAGTTGTTGGTAAATTGCGTTTCAATCCTACACATTATTCTATTATTTTTTAGCAAGATCAACGAAAAATCCTTAAGTAGTGCAATCCTCGCAACATTTAATTTCGAAGATTCGCAATACCTAGCTTAAGTAAATTTAAAAAAATAATTTTTTGCATTTGTATATCTACATTTTTATTAGAGTTAATTAATATTATCATACGATATTCTTAATTATTGTAATTTCAAAGAGACAAATATTTTCATTTCAATGTAATCATTGTCCTCCACTAGTTACCACTCCCTTATATGTATATTAGTTACCTTATGTAGTATGTAGTTATAACTTCTGCATTACCAAATTTGTTCTTTGTTCGTTTTGTAGATTATATTTAATGAAGAAATTGTATTAAATGAAAGTGAATAACTGATTGTCTATAGTTAAATAATTTGAAAACTTTGAGTAAATATACGGGAAAGTGAAAAACACTGTTTTTTAAACATCAGGATTTTTACTCAAGGTAAAATGTATTTGAAGAGCTAATTCTTTTAGAAGAGATTTTCTTGTATCTTTCTTATAAAAAAACAAATATTTTAGATTTTTTTATGTACAGTTATGTAATGCAAAATGATGTCCAGATACACCTTAAGTAACGTTTCCTTCATCGCAATTTTCAAAAAAATTATAAACCCGTTTTTAAATTATTTAGAAACATCGCAAACAACAAAAAATCGCTACATTTACTAATGAAGCCCAACATTTTTTCGAACAAGTTGATATGCTATTACATTTATGTTTGGATTTTTACTTTATTTTGTACAAAATTTTACTATAAGAACTTTAACATTCATAACGTTATTTGGGTCGTACCTATGCTTTTGATACTTTGCCTGATAACATCTTGATAGTGTTTTAATGAGCTCCGTTGTTTGTTTTTATTTTTTGGGAAAAATTTTGGCTAGTTTAGGAAATATTCGACTTACCGACTTACGAAATACTTTGTTTCTTAAATTAGGTTTTCTTACTACTCAGGCTCATCGAGTTTATGTAGTAACTGTACACTCGCCACATCAAGCTATAAAGAAAAATTTATTTGAAGGGAATACATATTTACTTTCTACCGGGCGAGTCAATTCTTACGGAATTGAATTAAGTTTTTTAATGAAATGGAGCTTTATTTAGATATTTTTACATCGGAACCTAATCGTTTTTTGGGAATATTTATGATAAGTTAAATTGGAAATGCTGGGGATGTAATTCCGCGACTTATATAATACATATATGTAGTTTTATGACTTGGTGACCATTTTTGCCCAAATGTGAAACCCAAAAGTGAGTACCTACTGCGACAATAAAGCAAATATGAAAAGGCACAGTTTGGAAAAAGTATTACTTATTAGAATAGCTTCCTCTAATATTTGAAAGTAAATTGTTACTCCGTACGTTTTATAACTATTCGATAATAATATTGTTCAGTTGTTTGACCGCGAGTACTATTCGTTTTCTATCCCAAACTAATATCGACTGGCTTTGTTTGTTTGATTATCATCCCAATATTATCATATTGAAAATCGCCGGTATCAAATAACTGCCGTTTCGAAGGCTCAAAAACATAAAATCGCCTTTCACTACAGCGCGTGTGCGAATTGTACAAGAGCACCACGGTACTCCCAAACGAACCATAACTTTTCTTCACTACAGGAGCATCAAGTGATCTCCGTAAAATGTTGCCAAATGGCAGTATATTTCTAAAAGTACACGGTAATTGTACTTCACGGAAGTGAAAAAATGCAGATATTTTTTATGGAATTTTGGAATAGAATAATAATGTACATCGGTTTATGCTGTAATGCAAAAAACTGGGAAATTCCAAAGACTCTCGTCTAGCCCTTTCGGTCACTGTGTACACATACACATTTGTGTACATCAATTTATCGGTATCCTTACATACATTCAGAAAGTATTTTCGCTGCTTGTTCATTGTGTCCACATTTGTGTACATTATAATGTTACATGTAATATAAGTAACACCCTCTAAGGGTTTTCTATAAAAGTTTATTTCTCTAATTCTAACAGCTGACGGTCACTGAGGGTGTAACATTTGCAACATTATCTGTTAGATCTTCTTGGCGTTTTGTTTGTGGTGGAAATAGTTTAGACAAATTAATAAAAGGTGGTTTTGTGAGTGCAAACAGTGATACATAGAGTTTTAAAGCCCATTTTTTTGGTCTTTAAAAACACGTACACATTTGTGTACACTGTGAGTCAGGGGAGTAAAATTGGAAGATAAACTTAACAGTACTTTTGTCTTTTTTATAATAGTAGACAGTTGAGTATTATAGGATCCTGGTTTATAATGAGTCGAAATCGCCCTCTAACAGAAAGATAACTAGTATTCGATTTCATAGATGCCGGATTATCAGACATTGAAGGACTTAGCGACGGCGAATTCAATGAAGAAGATGTCTTTGATTTTTATCCTGAAGCTACACAACTTGTTACCAGTATTTATTATATATCTTGTACGTAGCATATACAAGTTTTACCTTGTAAAATTACTGGAAATGCTATTGAGTGATGATAAGGAAGAGGCTGAGCGGCCAGAACAACCCGAAGGTGAACCTGTTCCTAGCACATCCGCGGAAACTCCACAAAGGTCGAAGAATAACTCTCACATAGGGGTGTTGATAAGATTCTAAGTTTCTTATTACCTTATATCGGACATTTATCAGGTCTAAAAAGTGGACTCTGAGAATGTTTGCTCATGCCATAGATAGATAGATGAGAGATATCCTAGATTTACTGCACTTCAGAGCCTATATTGCTCAGGTTCTAATATTGTAATCTTGGCGGAAAAAACATTCACTAAAAAGAGGGGGCGTCCATCAGCTAATAGTCCAAGTCCTTCATCGACCAAAACTTTAAAAGTAGCACCAGAAATTGAACCGATAGCCGAAGTTCGTTTGGACAGACTAGACCAATTACCATCCATTCATGAAAAAGAGTTTGCCTCTAGTTGTAAAGTGCCTGGGTGTAAAGGACGATCAAGAATTTCATGTCAAAAATGTAATGTGCTGTGCTTCACAAAAAAAGCAACTGTTTTTCAATATATCATACATAGTAATTTTTTGGTTTAATTTATTTTTTGTACCATTGACTGCCAATGTACACAAATGTGTACATCAAGAAACCAAAAAAACAAAAAAAATACAGAAAAACTATTGATATCAACAATTTACAAAAGAATCTAAGAGTTGATTTTCAAAAAATCAAATTTTTTTATAACAATAAAAATTGATGAGCGAAAGGGCTAGACTCTAGTAAATGCTTTAAAACTTTAAAAACTTTTGCCTAGACGTACAGGTATCAATTGATATAATAAGACATTTTTTCAGTAAGTTTTTTCTACTTTCCAACGCTATAAAATTAGAATCATGTTAATTTTTATTGCAAATCTGGCTCTCATTTCTTTTCCAAAAACGTATTTATGGTTAATAGGTGGACGATCTGATTCCCATTAAAAATTTAATTAAATATAAATAAGAACAAAATAAAATAAAAAAATCATGAATGATTACCGCTTGTCGAGCATTGCCTGACGAATGGTTATTGTTCACGACCAGTATTTTGGTAATATAATTTACTCTAAAAGGGAGTCACACAAGCAGCCAAAAACTAACATACCGATTAGGAATTTAAACCGTTTAATCCGATCATGTTCAATATATCATAAAGATATATTGAATAATGTCACGCCACTTGAAACAGTTAAAAGTCTAAGCTAAAATTGGAAGCTGGCCATAAAAATTCAAAGAAATCCTCCCATCTTGTTCTTAAGTTTCTTTTCTCGCTTTGTCCATTTCAATTGAAAGAGTTAAAATCCACTTATGGATAGACACAAAAATCATGATACAAATGATTAGTTACAAAATGTATTGTATACTGTTACTTAATATACAGGGTGTCCGGAAATATCGTCGAGATAATTATGATGGAAGGAGTTTTAAGTGTAAGTATAGTATTACTTAAAACAAATTATTAACTCGCTTTAAAAATGTGAGTCCCTTAAAAGCAGAAGTGTAACCGTAATTCCCATCTAATCGTGATTTAGTTGAATTGAAATGATAAAAACGTTAGTTTTGATACCTATAAGTTTATTTTATCTCGCTAATTAAAACGTTTCTTACATCACAAAAGTGTTTCGAATGTGCTGCTGAGTGTAACGCTGCAAGAAGTAACTAATTTAAAAATTCATAAAATCTAACATTATTATTCTAGTTTATCCAGGGTGACCAAGAAAAGGATGCATTGTATGGGGATCTACCAAACCGTAAGATAAGAAGTCGGTTAAATTAGGAAAATGTAGCGCAATTAGTGGGCCATATACGTAGCATTTTCATAAATCAAGTATTTAATTTTTGAGATATTTACAACAAAGTGATTTTTCGAATTTTCGTTTTTGAGGTGATTTCAAATCATATCAAAAATACCTTCTCATGGCACCTTTTCGAGCTCTACAAAATGGTGTCTATGAAAATTTATTACAGCTTTTCGCTTCTTTGGAACCATCATCATCATCAATAAGTCAAATTTCATGCTTCTGACTTTTGAAATTTTTTTGGTTTTTTTCTAGTTTTAGTAGGTTCATTTAATTTGAATTGCAAGTTGATGATGGTTTCCAAGAAACGAAACGTTGGAATTATTTTTGTATACACCATCTTGAAGAGCTCGCAAAGGTGTGATAAGAGAATATTTTTTGTTTTTTTATGATTTGAAAATCCAAAAATCACTTCTAAATACATCCCAAATATTAAAGTATCTCTTACGGTTTCGGAAATTCCCATGCAATCCATCCTTTTCTTGGACACCCTGTATACTATAAAAGGTGATCTAAAGTCAATTTGGTTAAAACTGTGGATCATTCTATCACTAAATGGCAAATGAGTATGTAGAACAATAATTTGTCATCATTGTTAGACTTTTCACATTGTTTTTCTTAATTGCAAACATAATCAGTAGTGAAAAGATTGAATCTTATGACACATAGATAATTTATGACACACATTGTTAATTATGGTACGTTGGTTGTGCCGATTAGTCACTTAAGGAAATTCCATTAACGAAGCGGCAACGTTGGCTTTCTGATCTGGGCCTCAACAGCGCGGAGTAGCGAACGCTCTCGGTGCTCTTTTCTCTTCTTGCATTGCACGCCGTGAAGCAGAAGTTGCATCTTGTGCGTACGTATCGGTGCTCGTATCGTGTTCGGTCTGTTCAGTGTTGCTCGTGCTCAAATAGAATAAACTTAAAAAATGGCAACGGAAGTCGAAAATAACGCGCCTGCCGCAGATACCAAAGAACTCAAAGAGGAAAAAGATACTCCCAAATTGGAGGAGGCGAAAAAAGAGGAAGCTGGGGCGGGCGATGCACCCAAAGAGAAAGAAAAGGAACCGGCTCCTCCTAAGGTCGTCGTGCACAAGGCCAATTTCGAGAAGGATGTTGTGTATCTGTATCAATTTTCGCGTACGCCTCTACTACCGTCTATGAGCCCTTATTGCCTTAAGGTCGAAACATGGTTACGATTGGCTGGTATCAAGTACGAGGTAAGTTTTTTGGCGTATTTTCTCGAAAAAAATGAACTTTGCGTCTTTTCTCATTCTGCAAAAACTCAATTCGGTACATCTTTTATTCATGGAATCGCATAGTTAGCGCCCGATCGGCTCCAAGTCGAGCTCGGAACTTTCAATATCTAGGAGTGGCCGCCATGTTTAAGCCGCTCGGCAAAATTCCGATTTGAATTTGATTTTATTTCTGTTTGTACCTATTTACTGTGACATTTAGGTATTATTTATAGATTAGCTCATGTAATTTGCATGCTATTATCAGTTGCTGCGATTATTGCCGCTAAGCAATGTATTTTGAGGAGCGGTACCTGGTACCTGTAAGTAATAAACAATTATCTGTGTAGTGCGAAAAATATGATTAACGCAAAAACAAATAGTAAACTGAACAATTAAGGATTTTTTATTGATTCACCTTTTATTTTTGCAATTTGCCAAACTTCTCTTTGTTTATTATGCCTTTGCACAGTTGTCGGATCTTCAAAAGGTTTTTATTTTTCCCAATAAAACTTCAAAAGCATAAACGACAACAAGGAAAATTTTGTAAGTATTTTTCGTGTTCCTTGAATATCTAAAACTGTTTTGTCTTCAATCAATTAATAGCATTTAAATTTTAATTGATATCACAATTTAGTCTAAGTCAATGTAATCCGCAGAATAATCTACGGGGTGGTTAATAATTTTCAAACTTCGGTAAACACAAGTTTGAGACAAAATCTAAGCAAATTCAACTGAAGCATATAGGTAGGTACTGTACAAAGTGATTTTTTTATAAAAACGCACCCTGTTATACAGTGTATTAAATGCAAGTCGTGAATTCGATGTAGGTATAAAGTGAGCTTCAAGACTTTATTTCAATGTGTCCGCCTAATCATTTCCTTTTGTTGGTAGTGAAATAAAGCAATGAAAAATATAAAAGAAGAAAGAAATTATCAAATATTACACCAACTGATGATAAAGCTAACACTAATTATCCTAATAACAATAAGTAGTTGTTACTTTTCTTATGCTCGTATTAATTAGCGGTAGMTTTTCAGTTGGCSACTAAACCATTTCGTSSCAACAAACTACCTAATTGAAGGTTTTTTATATACAGGGTGATTCWAAATTGGCGTCATTCCTTTTAAGGGGTGATGGAGGCTCACTTGGGGAGTACGAGAAAAATATTGAAAAKTTTTTTTTCRAAAATTTCTAGAAGATATTAACAGTTGAAGATCGMATTTCAACTTTGCTATTAAGCATTATTTTGAAATTGTTCCATGTTTAATTGGTAGCATATTGGAATACTTAAGCATTCAAAAAGAAAAATTACGATCTTTGCTTCAAATTACAAAAATTTTCGATATTGAAAAAGTTCTGTTCTACAATTTTTTGATGAAAAGGCACAGCGGCAACGATGTTTTTTGCCATTAACAGATAATTACAGGTGGATAGCCCTTGTCAATAATAACAATAATACGTCAAACTGTGACTTACTTTGAATTTTTTTTCACGAATTTGCGGATCTGCCATTAGTTCAGAGGAATGACGCCAATTTTGAATCGCCCTGTAATATAATACAATAATAATACATTTTTGTTATTGAAACGAATATCAATTACTTGAAAATATTACAAACCCTTAGTCTCAGTGTATCTCATTTTCGCTAACTTCTTAGTGTTCACTTCCTCATAATTTATTTTTATGATTTTGAGTTTTTGTTTAAGATCTCTTCAAAGCAAAGAACTAATAAGATGATTTTCGTGCTGATTTCAAGTTTTAAGCAAGTGTAGTCGGTTTTGCGCCAATTTTGATGAGACAAAAAACTGATATTCGGATTTTTCAGTTTGCCCCAAATAATTCAGAAATGAAATTTCGTCGCAAAAGTTTTAAAGCTTACAACTTGTTTGCATACAACAATTGTATTGGTTACGTCAACTTAAAATATCTTCCAGGTTTAACATAAAGAAAGGAAAGATAATGAATAATGAACTAGAAACAGTTTTCATGTATTTACAAGGCATCGAAACCTGTGACAAAAAGTCCTTGTAAATGGAGACACGTTSGTCTRCCTATGGCAATTTTAGCTCCCTAAAAACACTTCTTTTACGTTTSAGGTGAAGGTATTTTCTTTATTTTTTCACRTTGTATAAAATTTRATGATAGATMAGGATTTTTTGATTGAATATAAGAATGGTGATTGAATATCTATTGAGACAACATAAAAATTAGGGTGCGGTCAATTCACTGCATTGTAGGRATGGGAGAAAAACATCGATGTTTGGCAAACATCGATGTTTGGCAAACATCGATGTAATTCGTTCGATGTTCGATATTTTTACCTTCGATGTTGGAAATTTGGGACATCGATAAAACATCGATGTTAGATCCTGAAATGAAAACATCGGACATTTGATGTTGATACTAGACAGAAACATTTTCTGCGAACTCTTGATAGTGCCGATACAAACGATAACGCGGCATAGCGGCCCATTTCCAGCTGCACCCAAAAAAGCCACTTTTTGCAGTCAGTTGAACCGAAAAATGTGGCAACTCTAAGTTGAATAAATTTAGTCGATTATTTAACAATGCWTTGTTTTAAAATGTCATAGTAGTAGTAAAATTAAATTTATYTWAGTKTAAGTTAATCAATTTGAAATTTGWATGCAACKGMAAACTATCAGARCATCGATGTTGTSAAACATCGATGTTCTGCCTTCGATGTTTCCCTGACATCGATATTATCTTTCGATGTCCCATTCCTACTYCATTGTCTAGTGAAGCAAATCGCAAATCGCAAATATTTACTGATTCTACTGAATGAATTAACGGTGGTATTTTGAATATTTTTTTTCAACTAAAATAAATAACRATTTTTTGTACAATATGTAGGAAGCACAATATAACTGGATAAAAAAATATTTGCCACAGTTATCTTAGTTAGTAAGAAAAATGTATATAAAACTTARAAAAAAACAGAGAAATCWCTTTCACATATAAATRCTTAGAAAGAAATACTACAGGCTACTGCGAGTTGTTAGGATGTTTTTTAGAGTGGTACGTTTCAGGCTAAATWMTKACTAGCTAAGTTTGATTCACTATTGTTTTTATAATAGATTTGGCTAAATAAGGCATAGAAGCGCAGGAATATTTGTCACGTTCAAAAAGTGTTAAAGAATAAACGTAAAACACAAAAAGGTATTTCTTTGTACTGTTTGCTTACTAATTTTCCTCTGGGTTAATTTAACTTTTAATAACCAAATGGTTTCTAGTTATAAATTAACATTCTTTCGTCTTTTGTCATCATCAGTAGTGGGCGAGGTTCCATTGGCCATTCGCACGCACTCAGTCTAGGAGGGTAAATTTAATTTATTCTCAGCTTTGTATCACGGAAATGGCTGTCTGGCGGCTGTTCAACGACTGTTGAATTAAGAGCAAATTATGGTTGGTTTGATGTTAGGAGGCATTTTTAAACACTGAAATATGTCTTTTGTTCAGTGTCGTTTTTCAGACGTTAACCAACCGCAGGTATTTCCATACATCATTACAAATCTTTTGAAGTCGTTTTTAAAATCGTGGTTCATTTAGTTCTGTTAAAGACTTTATTTTTGAACTGGCTACCTACAGGGTACTTCAGGATATACACATGCAGTTAAATAAAGCTGAAGACAGCTAATACATGTATCATCTACGCGAATATCCAAAAATAAATAACATAAATGATATAACGCAGTGTATGTTGGCCTAGGTTAGGTTTAAAATGACCTTAAAATTTCTCTAACGGATTCCACATCCCACGCTTAACTTTTATCATAAGTATTGCAAGATATGTTGGCCTTTATTTTTTACAGATGAAATTGTCACATGTTGATTGATGATAGTAGGAGCATGATGATAATGATAGTTCCGATAAAGCTTTTAGGACAAATTGCACATGTTTTTTTCCATATATTGCAAGCACTTTTGTGAACATGAACGTTGGCGTTTCAACACATTAATTGGTTGCGCAAAAATTTAGGCAAACAGAACAAACAAGCAGAAGTAAAAAATAAAGTTACCCATGTGCGAACCGAAAAAGTTTGTAGTTGTTTGCGTACAAAAAATTAAGTTTCAAATTTTTTTTTCGCAATTTTACAGCTCACTTTTTTGCCTTTAGTAGATTTTATGCTGTGACCTAATGCACAAAGAGATTTACTAAGTCATTTTTACTCAAGTGTTTATTTTTCTGTTGCATCCAAATATTTCCCGGGCAGGCTTAGGACAAAACAGTAAGTTCATGCGAAGAAACATCCGTAAGATTTTGAATACTAGAACGTTTGGAAAAAAAATAGGAAGAACAGATGCAGGCCATATAAATAGTAGCGAATTTTCAACATAACTAAATATTGTCTCGAGTTCTTGCTGTTACATGTACTTAAACCACGGTTGTTCGTATCTTCCATTCGTCACAAGCTAAATCGACTTCTTGTAGTTTATAGAAAATCATCACCCCAAGGCGTTTTCTTGCAAATACTCTGGTTTCAAGTTCATTGGCAAATTATATTCACGCCGAACCGGATAACCTTCCACTGGGTTAACGCTCCTTCAGCTATTTGATCTTAGCAAGTTGCATATTGATTATGTATTAGAATGTTCAAAAATCGAGAGGGTATTTAATTAAAACATTTCCTTGTAACTGGAATTATGCCAACATTTTGTTCAATGCATGCAATTCTGTGTTTTTTCTTTCTAATTTCTTTTAATTGAAAATGTGTTTAATGATTTAGTGTTCAATTAACGACTAGTAAATTTACGGAGCTGGTCTTTCGCACGAAAGTTGAATATAAACGGAACAATAAGTACTTGCTTTGCTGTTCATTAACTGTTTGCACGAATTTGGTCTGAGTTTAACTCTCTCTTAATGATCAAAACTACGAACAATAGTTTTGTGCCGAGTTCAGTAACATAAACATCTAATTACACCGCTCATCGTCTTCATTTTGCTAGCGATTATTTATTTTACCAAATTTAAAACTACACTAAGTGCAACAATTTTCTTGTCGATTTTTCATTGAATTAAATAATTATCTATTACAGTCATGAAGTGAAGAAGTAGGTATTGAACTGTTATGAGTAACAGAGAAGCAATGTCAAGGAAAACGTTTTGTTATTTTTATAAATCAATTAAGTACAAAAATATACATATATACTAGAGCGTCTTCAAATATTTAAAGGAATAGCTGTGTCAACACCAAGCTCAAGGACAATTTTGTGTGCGTGGGAATTTCGTTATGGCATCAAATGATGTATTGTTATTTGTCCAATATTGGTGAGCGTTGCAATAATAAATGCAAGCAAGCAACCAGTGCTGTTTGGGTTGTAATCACTATTGAGGCAAAATATGATTTTGTACGCTTTTGCAAACACCGAATTTTTTGAGAGAGCTTTTGGTTATGCATTTGCTCGGATAGAAGTTATACTTACCCACAGAGGTTATAAGAGTACATTTCCATTCTAGACAAAACATTCCTGATTGATTTTTAACGCCAGCAGGAAGATTAAGCGATAAGAACATGAGACCTTTCGTTCTTAAAAAAGGTGAATTTTGTAAATCGTCGTAAGAATCCAAGAACCCTTTAATTTCAAATGTAATCGATCACAGAAAAACGCCTAAACTATAAAACTACAAAACTAACAAAAAAATAAAACATTCTGCCATAGAAAACTGCGAGTTAATTAATGTTGAAAATCTGACTTTAAATTCGTTTTCCAAAATTAAATAAAAATTTTTACAACCCAATATAGAATCCAAAAACTCCCTCATCGAAGCAATATTAATGCGACAATATAATAAGTAAGTAATGCAAAACTTACCGAAAGCTGCATCGTGCCACCTGGAAAGAGAAAAAAAATGTGATTAGTAGAGAAGAAAATCTGTCCGGAATGGAAAAAAGCCGTGTTATTGAAAATCATCAAAACAAAAAAAGAGAAATGTAAAGAATCCATAGCACTTCAGGTGCGTTTCGAAAAACTGAACTCAGTTCAAACTAAATGATTATTGGATTAGAAATCAGTCTTACCAGCTTTCTACAAGCTGGCCCTTCTTCCATTTTCTATCCTTGAATTCCCAAAAAGCTCACACTACCATCATACACTGAAAACGAATTTCGAATTATAAACTTTCCTTAAGGGTCACAATGATTCCATATTTTCCATCTAAGAATGGTATTCGCACGACACAAAAGATTGGCGACCGATTTTCGACTGAACTCCAGAATCAACATGATAATATAATCATTTACTTGTTCGCCCTTTGTATGAGTCATTGATTTCTTTACTTCGCAGTTCGATTTCAATTTTTTTACTATTGACTATTTTGTAGAAGTGGCTTTTCGCACGGCAATATTCACATACACGTTTCACATTCAAACTCGTTTCGATGATAGCTGTAAACAAACCCTCTTTCTCAGCCGAGATAAACAAATCCGGCGCATTAGACTTTTTATATTAAATTAAATGGGTCTAGCTATGGAAGCAGTCATTTAATTAAATTTTTATATATTTTATATTTTGCGTAAAGGCTTCCTAAATAACAGACTCATATTCCTCTATTTATCAATGCTTCATGGTGAGCTACGGAATATCTACCTTGATTTCGACACGTGCTCACGTTTAAGTCTTTGGTAGATTTTCAGAAAAAGTTGGTCTTTTATAGCTTGACTAAGTGACAGATCCACATTCGGTCCAGGTCATAATTTGGGAATGTTTCTCGTTGGTCGCACTATGAGCTCGCAGATCAGTTTTTTCTCTAATTCAAGAAATTCTGAGTGTACGGAGTGATATTTTGTGAAAATGTTGGCCAAATGAATTATCACATTCCAGCCAACTATTATTTATCAACGCAAATTTCAACTTTAAATGCTGGATTTGTTGAATATAATCTGCTGAAATGGCAGATCCAGATTCAAGCCTTATGCTGATTTGTAAAAGCTTTCTTTTGCTAGCAGCATTAAAGCGACGGAAAACTTAATTGGATTCTGTTTGGCACGCGCTCCCATTTGATTCTCTTTGCTAGTTTTTATGCAGGGTGGTTCTAAACCTAAACTAATGTGACAAAATTCACTGACATAGAGTTTTGAGAAAAATATTGCGTTTAAGGCAAATTTGTCTTATCTGGAGATGATTTCATCTCCCTAGTAGTCTGTAATATTTTTCTTCTTCTTTTACTCTCGTTTATTGCGTGGAGATATTGATTTAAATAATATTGAAACATTTTCCCTTGCGCTTCGCTGCTGTGGTATTTTCAGAATTTTCTTCGATATCGTCTAGAATGGTCTCCCCAAACGCAAAATTCACCTCATACATAATATATTTGCATAAAGAGAGGGTGTCTGACTCATATCGTTGCGAATTAAGTAGTATGGGGATTGATTGCAATACCACCTTCTTCCATCAAAACACTCATTCCTGGGCAATTCATATAATTGCAAATTACGCGTTAAATCAACAAATACATATTGAATCAGTTGTATTAGAAAATCGTTCAATCCCATTTTGAACTCTAATCAGTTTCTGTATTAATGGCTTGCGACTATAATTTTCATCTTACTGCCCAGCTGCAGTAATTTGCTTTGAAACAACTTTTGATTTATCTCGCCAAACCATCGACGTGTCGATAATGAGTAAAATCATTCACTAAACAAGAAATATATACAAGTTTATCAGTGCGTCATATCCTCTAAACTCGTACCATGTGCTCGCTTAAGACCTGCGATTGCTTTACACCAAAAAGGAATTGCACATCACGTTCACTGCGTTCAATTTCAAAGTTAATCAGACTTGACTGGCAGGAACTATGCCTTAACGGCTCCTATCAATGCCAATTATATTTCATTACTTGCTTTTGCCGGCTTGAATCTGTTTTAGATCCTAATAGAAAAGGAAAAGTGCTGATTTAGGCCTATTTGTATACACATTATCGTGAAACAGTTGAAATGCCTGATCGATTCGAGTGGGTTTAAACTTCGGCTTAGATAAACACATGGTAATGTAGATAAGTGTTCAGTAATCAGAAGTGTTTGAACAGAGCCAGTGTTTGTTCTCACCGTTACTGAATTGTCTTTTTTAAAAGAGGCTGTAAGCTTGAGATGGTTTTAATGAGCTTGTCAAGTAAGAAGCTGTTCGAATAGCATACCCAGGAGCTTTGCAGCTTCGAGGAATTTTAAATTCAATCTAGAAATAAAGTTGACATTTTTTATTGGTTCTTTCGCGCAGTTATTTTATTTTCTAGGAACCTTAAGAGCCAAATGCTCAGCCCAGTCTACACAAACACATGTTTATGTTAGATAAGGGTTAATGAAAAATTCCAAGGATTCAATTATCATGGTACATCTTCTTCATGTTTCTATTTCTATTTAATGCTAGTAAAGCGAAGATGTTCGATTCCCATTAAATAATGCCCATGATCTTTTCCAATTTGCAAAATGCTTGGATGTAAATTCAAGTTACAATTTAATGTTTTTAGCAACTTTTTGAAGCGAGTCAACTAACAACATATGTTGTTCAAATGATGCTGATTTTTGAACATACATATTTCATCTTTAGACCTGTTTTCTGAATTACTGTTAACTTCTCAAAATAACTTCGTTATATAGTTAACAGCTAGCAGTTTAATAATTTGCAGCCTAATTTTTCCCGTTTGATGTCATTGAATTTTAATAGAGTGCGGAAGTTAAAATTTGTTTTGATCTAATAGCATTTCTTTGGTCGTAGTATTTACTTCCGGTTGCGGTACGTACGTTTCTGAATATTTGATTATTATGTCTAAAGAATATTATTTAGGTAACGGTTGTAAAAAAATCGAATGCATAGTTTTGTTTAGGAAGTACTAGCATTTATTTATTACATATATCATCGCCGGACGATAAACCTTGGGTAATCCAATCAATCATTGAACACCAGATATTCCAACTTGAACCAAAGTATTTTCGAAAACGCCTCAGTTCAAACTAAAATCAATCAAAGGCTCGACAAAGATCCGATTGGCAGAGGAGTTCGCCAAGGTGACACCATATAAAAATTCATTTAGAAAATAGGGGTATGATCGACCGTTGCTATCTAAATCACTTGAGATTCGCAGACGATATAGTCTAGTCCTCATAAGTAAAACTGTTACTGAACTGGAGTATATGTAACATGAATTGAAAGAAGACGAAGATATTGAGCCAACAAAATCCACAACTTTTATTAAACGCCAGATACCCCGTAAATTTCCCGAAAAATTGGATTATCATGGACAGCTTTGAAAGCCATTACTTTTACAGAGGCAAACACAGACAAGCTCAGAATAACACCAAGAATAATGGAAGGAATTATAGTGGGAGTAAATTTAAGACACGAAACGAAGATCGGGCATTATACATCGGCAAGATTGTCAAGAGAAACACCTGACCGATGGACATAAAAGAAATTACACACCAGACCGGAGGTAACAAAAGAAGTGTCGGAAGACCACAAATGCGATGTTTGGACGACACTAAAAAGAACGTAGGATGGTATTTTTTTCAACATCCCAAGACAGAAATGCATGGAAGTAGAGAGAGTGAACGGTTGTAGTTGTTTTGATATTTTTTACTCTATAAATAATTAAAGTGTTTTCTGCTCATCGATCACCGATACTTAGCCAATTAAAATCCTTAAATGCTTCCTCAGGGAATTTGAACACTGAACATCCGCACAATGTATTAAAAGTTCGTTCGTTTATGCGTTTTTGAGTCGACTGTTACGCCAAACAAGCAGTTTCGTTTCGTTATTTTTCCCATTAATTCCCATTTACTGGAACATTCTGTTGCAAACCCGACTTTATGCACCATTTCGTTAGTTTAAGTAGCAACCGTATTCCGAAGTCGTAACGTTTTTAGTTACAGCTTCTTGAAATGGTTTATTATACTGTCATGACCATATTCAAATTTTATTATTAGTTTAATAGAGTAAACAATGTTTTACATTAGTCCAAACAGTGGGTTTCTGGTTACTTATTGCGCACTTTGCGTGCAAAAAAGCTTAACATTTTATGTGTTCTCAATGTATAAGGCTGGACTATTTAGTCACTTGGGCGAATTTTGAAAATTCATGGCACATACCAGAAGTTTCAGAAACACTAAAAATATACATCTGCCTTAACTGCTACTCTAAATATTTACAGGAAGGCATTCCAGAGCCAATTTCTTTTAAACTGTTAAAGGTAATTCACGTAAACAGAGCAGTGATACTAATTTTGTTACTGAAATGCTTACTTACATATGGTTAAGCCAAGAAGCTGGACTTTAATAATCGCAAACCTACTTAGTGAACTGAAGAAATGTTATCTCATACCAACATCTTATTAACAATAGTTCTAGTTATATTAAGATATTCAATAACTTTTTCACAAGTACCTACGAGGAAATCTGGAACACCAACGACAATTTAACATCTCTCCATTGTATCAACACTGGTGCAATTAAGTCCAATCTAATTATTTCAGAGAATTCTGACATATTTTTAAAGAAAGTTGAATGACCTGCTTCAAATACTAATTCGGAAGCAGAGTGCATAGTGTTCATTAAACTTGGAAATGTAGATTTCACAATTTAATGGGATGATGACTGTGAAGTCTGTCTAGTAATGTTATGTCAACTTTTATTATTTCTGATTAAAAGAAATGTATTTTGTTATGGCTTTTGGGTTGATAAAATGCGGGTATATGGGAAATATGAGTTTTTGTCATTTGAAAGGTCACACATGCATGAGCAAATGGAACAATTCCGTTCCAAATGGCGTTAAACAAGACGTGTTGCATGCAAGTGAGGAAATATTACAAACTGTTATGAAAAGACTTTGAAAACCTTTCATATGGACCACAAATTTGTAGACGATAAACTTTCTACTGCATTGCATTGGCAAACAAGAGGAAGAAGCAACATTTTCTTCACAACGTATTTACATTTGACTAATTGTATAAAAGTATCATGTAGGTACATACCTACACTTATCAATTATCACACTTCTGCAACTATGGTAATCGGTTGAGCATTCCTCGGGTCGTATTAGGACTTGGTATAAAATGGGCATCAGGAATTCATTTAATATTAAAATTACTTTGTTTATGCATCGCTTGACTTCTAATTACAAATCAAGGATGTACTGTCGAGGAATTTTGCTTTGCGCATCAGATTGTTTCTTCTTTAGATCGGATTACCAAAAACAGTTTAGTGCACTGTAATTAAAAACCACCTGATGATCTTACAGAAGAGTGTCGTGTAACGGAAGCCCAATGAACCAAATCTGAAGCTGAAAATATTATTGTTGAATAAATATAAACCATAACGGCTTAACGATATCACCGTATGAGCCATAAGACATTAAT